TGATCAGTTCTTTGTTCCCCCGGGAAAGAGGAAGTGCGTGAGGCGGAACAATGCAGTTCTCTTTGTTCCGGTCTAATTTTTGGATCTTTTGTTTTAATTTTAGCCGATTCGGGAGCCGCAGGGGGGCTTGCACGTAATGCACAGCGAGAGAAATTATCGAATGTTTCTCTGAGGCCCGCAGTGTTTTGGGCGTAGTTGTCTTTTCGAGCAAAATTTCACTTATATTTCATTGGTTCTCACAAGATTATAATCTACGCAGTTCCTTTGTGTGATACACAGAAAAAATGAAATTGGTTATTTAACAATTTCGTAGTAAAAAAAAGTCTCCAACAAGTTTCAATGTAGAATTTACAATAAAACATGCTAATTTAACCACCCTCGTGGTTAAATTAGCCTTCCACTATTGTAAAATGTACTTTTGAAACATGTCGGACGTAATTTAACGATTAAATTGTTAAAAAATCAATCCATTTTTTCCGTGTAGTTGTTCTGGCAACTAGGATACAAATTTTACAAAATTATCGGAATTCTATTAGTGTGAAAACTGTATTTAATGCCGTGCCTATTTGCAAGTATTTAAAGTTCATGTTATGTAATTAAGTTTGAAAACGTTTAAAATGAGATAGAGGATCCATCATCTTGATCCTTGTTCTACATTTCAATACCTCAAAAAATGGGATTTTCCAGATCAATGATGCATGCTAAAATAAAACGGATGTAATTATCAGAAAAAAAAGACCTCTGGCATGCCTCATGACTTTTCCAACTTTTTCTGATAAGAACAAGATTTTTTTTGTTTTTTTTTAGGGGGGGGGGGTTTAATTTCGCCAAAAGCGTCTTGTTTGCGCCCAATTACACGTTTCAGGTAACCCTGGTAAAAATTGATGATACGAGCTGCGTTTCAAAGTACCATAGGAGTTCTTATAGCCGCCTAGAGAAGGCTATTGAAAATCATATAGCTGGTTGTAGAAAGCGGAGCAAATCATATAGCCGGGCTATATGAAGCTATAAAAATTATATAGTCGGACTATAGTTCCTATCGCCGGGCTTTACACTTTATCGCCATTGACTATAAAAGGCTATAAGAAATTGTGTAGAAATTCGTGTGCTTTGGACATAATTAAGTTTGATATTATATTTTCCTTTAAAACATATTTTTTTTTCATCAATTAAAATGAGATGGCCCACACAGAGTGTGCAAACATTTCAAAATCATGAGTTGAAAAACGCTGACTCCGCGAGATTAAATATTAGAGCCTAACACAAAGCGGAGCGGCGACGCATTGGCGCCTACAAACCTAACAGGGATATTTCACGCATTGCGCGGCGACGCACAGGTGCCTACAAACCTAACAGGGATACTTCACGCATTGCGCAATGCGTGAAGTATCCCTGTTAGGTTTGTCGCTTTTCGCGCTGACTGCCCGCCCGCCGCGCCGCAGCGTGCCACGGCGGGCGCTTGAAGCAATTATTTCACACCAGAGGTATTGCACAGTATCATACGAAATTGAAGGCGCTCCAACATATTAGGAATGGCAGGCATCCCTCAAAAGTACGGAGCTTTCCTCGCAAAATAAATCAAGATACTACGGCACAAAAAGAGAGCGGTAGTCCAAAAACTAACTAAGTCCTAGTATCCGTATTTAGAAACGTTTAGCATAAACTTTATCGTCTGGCTGTTGCTTAATCGCCATCGGCTATAGAAGGCTATAAGAAATTGTACAGCCGGCTACAGAAGCTATTGGAAATCTTACAGCCGGCTTTAGGTCTATAGTATTTTGGATTGGAACACACATTCTACTGCCAATTTTTACCAGGGAAATTCTATATTCCAGTCAAAGTTTAGATCACTCTCGGCTGTATCAGTCAAAGAAGACAATTCTCTCGGTTTGACAAAAAAAAAAAACCGTCCGTATAGATGCAACAGAAAAATTTAAATTAGGTAAAGGGGCTAATTTTGTTGTTTGACCAGGAACTTTCTTATCAGGATGGGTGGGAAAATTTCTTGAGCATGACAAAGGCACACTCCTCTGTAGTTTTGGCTGCTGGATCCAAAAGTGACAGCCGTTATACCCGAGTATGCACCAGTTTTGCGGGAAAACCTGAAAATCTGGAATACTCGGACGATTTGAGTCCTTAAGTATGAACCCGTCCTCCTGAAGAAGGTATTAGAGTCCTGAATCTCGAATATTTTGCGTTGCAGGCGGATTTCGACATCCACCGTTTCCACACGGCCGTATGTAACTCTAAAGGAACTATTTACATAGTCCCAAGTAGCATTGTCATCCACTTTCTAGGTGGCGCTCATCAAGAAAATGTATACTTTCTAGATAGAACAATTTTCTTTAAAGAAAATAGGTATAAAGTAGATCTAGAAAATAGACACAATAAATAGAGAGAAAATACATTTTTCCTTGCATTTTCTTAAAAGAAAACAGTGAGAAATTGGCTGGAAAATAATTCTACTTTCAATAAATTTTTAATCTTTTTTCCAAATGGGAAGTTGACAGAAAGTAGACCCATGAAATATATGTAGATCTATTTTCTTTGGTCAGACTTTTGACTCGCAATGTTTCTTCTCTCTGTTTTCTGGATAACTCTCAATTTATGTGTTTTTTCTAGAAATTTTCTTAATATTTTTTTTTTCTAGAAAAAAATTCTATTTTGCTACTTGGGTAGGTTCTTTTTCTTTGTCCACATTTATCACTTGGTTCTTGGTTGATTACTCACTCAAGGATCGAGAGCCAATCCTAAACTTGGTGCGAACAATTTTGGAGGTCGGGAAGATTGTAAGGAGCTCTTATCTCTAAAAACGACTATTTCGACATTCGTCCTTTGCCATGGAGACGGTGGAACTTCAAAAACGCGTATCTGGGTTTGTGAGTCTGCGGACTTTCTATCATTTTTAAGTTTTCAAATGGAATCAAAGTATAAGAGACAATGGGAGCGGAGATTCACAGTTTCGTCTTCGATGTATACGTGTTGCTTCATGCACTGTGGCTCGATCGATGAATCGATATTGAATGACCTTGATCGATAGAAAACATTGCTAAGATAGGGATTTATCGATCAGGACCACCATTCCATAACGATTCAACAATCAACCCGCAGATGCACTAAACCCCCCGCTAGTCCAACGATTTAACATCAAACCACACATGCAGTCATGTATCGATGGTCAAAGTACAAAATCATGTATCTCGATTACGATGTTTCGAAATTTCTGCTCCTATCTTCTCTCCTCAAAAAGAAACAAAGGCAACATTTTAGCTTGAAATTTAAACAAAAAATTCTACTGATACAGAAAAAAAATCAAGGAAGTTTTTCAGGGATTACGTCAACTAATTATTTTCCAAAAGAAAAATAGGAAAAAGGAAAGGAAATTATTAAGTTTGATACGGAGCCAACATAATATTCACAAAACACACATTATATTTTCCTTTAATACATATTTTTTTTTTCATCAATTAAAATTAGAATAATCCATACAGGATGTGCAAACATTTCAAAATCATGATTCATGAGTTGAAAAACGCTGACTCCGCAAGATTATGTTGGAGCGTAACACAGAGCGGAGCGGCGTGCTGCCAGCGATAAGCGCGCACCAGCGCCTACAAACCTAACTGGGATACTTCACGCATGGCACAATGCGTGAAGTATCCCTGTTAGGTTTGTAGGCGCTAAGGCGCTTTTGGCGCTGCGCTGGCTGCCCGCCCGCCGCGCCGCAGCGTGCCACGGCGCTTGAAGCAACTATTTCACACCAGAGGTATTGCACAGTATCATACGAAATTGAAGGCGCTCCAACATATTAGGAATGGCAGGCATCCTTCAAAAGTACGGAGCTTTCCGCGCAAAATAAATCAAGATACTACGGCCCAAAAACAGAGCGGTAGTCCAAAAACTCACTAAGTCCTAGCATCCGTAATTAGTAACATGTAGCATACACTTTATCGCCTGGCGGTTGCTCAATCGCCATCAGCATCAGCTATAAAAGGCTATAAGAAATTGTGCAGCCGGCTATAGAAGCTATTGAAAATCTTACAGCCGGCTTTAGGTCTATGGTATTTTGGAACACAAATTCTACTGCCAAATTTTACCAGGGTTCCTTGTATTGCTCATATTTCCTCATATATATTGAAAAAGTATAATGCATTTTCATTATGGATAGAAAATGTGGATGCTTTCCCACCGGGCATCCCCCTCCCACCCCACTGTCCGTTCCTCTACGCCGGTGTACCTAATGCAGGGATGCGCAACCCTGCCCTGCGCGCGCGCTCATCAGCGGCCGGTCGGCCGCGGCGCGCCCCGCCAGCCTATACGTCGTCATTGGGCCGTTTGTGAACTTACGCTTCAAGATACGCTAAAACGGACGAAATGTTTGTAACTTGCAATTTTCCTACAGAATTGATAAGTCGTTTGCCAAAATTTTTGAATTTTGGATTTAGGCCCTTTAGGCCCTTTGAGGCACGGGTTAAAATTTTTTCTAAATTTTTTCCTTTTAGGGGGTTCACTTAGAGACTACGTAGAAACTTTCTAGGGGTTGACCAACTTGATTATCCCAAAACTAAAAAATAAGGTACACCCTAGAGTCCCCCCAGACCCTCCTTAGCCCAAGTCATATATCCTTCTGTGCCCTCCCCAAAAAAAATTCCTAGTTCCGCCCATGAATAGGTGAAATGATCCACAGAATGAATGAAAACATCGGAAATCAATCCATGGTAGAGAATGGCGTCAATTTTTACGTAGAGATTTAAAAAAAAAAGTATGACTTTTGAAAACTTTGGAGGGAGGCGGCTGCTCCCAACCCCTCCCCCCCCTCTTGCTCGCGCCGTCATTGCCTCTTTATGGAATGATTCTCTGGACAATATTAATTTCCTAAGTGTGGGGGGAAGGGGGGGGGCGCGATGTCTTTCCCGCTTACTTTTAAATAATTATGATTTATGATGAGCGCACTCTGGTGAGCGATGAGCGTAACTTAAAATCATGGAATCCTAACCTCTCGATTTGTTATTGTTTTTGTCGAATTCTAGAATTCATCATCGCACTTTTGTCTCAAATTTCAAGTATTATTCCTTTTTCTAAGACCGTTTCCTTCATATTTTAGTCTTTAGCTAGTATGTTGGATAGTTTTAAAAGCAATTTTAGTTCACACCGGCTCCGGAAATTCTTGGTTCTGTGATTAGTTCGTACAGGTTCGTGGTACCTTGACTATGGCCGGTTCTCAACGAGAGGCAATTCAGAAACAGATTCTTCAAGATTGGGTCAATCGTGAATACATTGAAGTCATAACAGGCTCCATCAAAAGAATCACGGACTTCTTAAACAATTTTGGTAACTTTAATCTTCTAATTACCCTAGTTACTTATCATCGTTCGTATTGACTTTCAACAGGCTCCGATTATCCCTTTAAGGAACAATAAATACTAGAGCTGATTTGTTTTTTCTAGTGGGGGTTTTTTAACATTAATATTTAATGATAATTCAACATGTGATTGTTGCGGAGAAACTTTAATAATTAGACTGCCTTTGGGACTGTGGAACTGAATGCAAAAGTTTCCATTCTGAATATCTATTCTATTATACTTGGAGGGCTTTTTTTATGCGGATCGCAGTGGAACGCGGTGGATCACGATGAACATAGGTATTTTTTCATTCTGTTCCTCATCCGTGATCTAAGCGTTCCAGGTGGATCAGGGTGGAACGCTGGATCGCTCTTCCGAGGTGGGGCGAGCTCGCGATCCACTGTGATCCTAACCTAATGCAAGGAAGTTGCCGTCCCCAACAAATCAGAACATTAACAAATCAAACCAAATTCCAAGTTTGGATTTTTTTGTCACTTGGAACACTTTGGATCGGTCCGGATCGCTCAGGATTCCTATCCAGTGCGTTCCACTGCGATCCACCCTGATCCGCGATAAAAAAAAAGCCCTCATGTTATTGAATAGACTTTAAGCCATCTGATGATAGTGTTTATCTACTGTCTGCTATAACTGTGCTACATTGTCCATTGCCCCTCTATTATTCTTTGCTAGAGGTGTCATCATATAAGTCATTCCGTTCGCAAGCGACTGCGATGCAATCGTCTTATAGCAATCGAGGATTGACTATGCTCCTGTCAACACTTTTCAAATTTTTCTCCAATATTCATTTTCATTTCTTAAAGTCAATTTTTCGGTTTCAAATCTTCTTTTCTTCAATATCATTCAGTCCATCTACATTAATTTTAATTACTAAACTTGCAACTAATAGCTACATAGATTATAGCCAGCCAATCACGCATAGGCTTGTTGTCTTGCCACCTGTAACATCAGCAAGTCTATAAAAGGGTGCGCTGCGCCCAAATCGAGGTCTTTTTACATCTCTGAGACCCGTGAGACGTTGGTCCTCTCTTAATATCTTTTATTTTGAACTTTATTTTTCTTCGCCATCCTTAATCTAGGTATAACGTGATGTTTCAAAAAGTTCTCAAACGTTAACCAAAAGCTCTTAAACTTTGACAGCTCCACATTCCTAACTCAATATTGCTCTGTTTTCAAGCAATTAATTGTTGTCCTGTTCTTTCCTTTTCTCAACAGATATGTCCTGTCGCTCCAGATTGGCAGTACTTGATACAAAATTGACAAATCTGGAAAGAAAAATTGAATATCTTGAAGCCAGAGTAAGTCTCACCAAAATATCATTAACAACATTTCTAACTTTAAAAAGGTTTATAATTTTTAAAAAAATGTAGAAGTATTAATGTATTATGATCATGAGTGAACAAAAAAGAAGAAAATTGTAGTTTTTAGTTCATGAGTTATTGCTCCATATATCTTACTCCAGGTATATAAAATCATAAAGAAAATGTGTAACGCACAATGCTAGAAGCGGGGAGAGCTTGGGGGGGGGGGGTTGGATCGCAAAGCAGTGATGGGATGTGGCCCCTTAGATGAAAGAGAAAATTGAATAATGTGATGGTATGCCGAAGGTGCTTACTTCGTTGTGTATTAGTTTCTGATGCATTTCGCCTGTTCAGGCATCTTCAGAGAGGTAGTCACTATGAACTTCAAGCTTCAATAAACTTTCCACAATTGGCATACCATCACATCATTCATTTGAATTACAGGTGCAATATGCATATCAAACTTGAAAGAGAAAAGATTGGATTAAGTACCCTGCAGTAACAGAAAAGATGTGAGAAAGTCTATATAAAATGTAAACAATGAACTCCTACACTAGGTATGAATTTAAGCAATCTGATACATGTTTCTTAACCAGAATCTCATGTAAAACACAATTCGCGCATCGAAAATTACTGAAACCAACTCCTAACAAAGATATTAAAGTTTTTATTTCATATTGGTTACGAGGAAATTGAACTGTCCACTCACAAGAAACTCAAAGCTCTACGTGAGTCAAATCATACACTACATCGGTTTCAGCAAGCTTCTCAATCGACTAATGTTCATTTCCCACCATGTGTTGTTCAAACTATAAGCAATTTGCTAAAGCTGAGCCGAAGCGTCAAGATTGAGGTTGCCAGATTTTTATATCGCAGAGACTGTCATGATAACGTTTAGCGCGCAATGCGAATCATGTAGAGCATTGAGTTTGCATTGAGCAATGCTGAAATTCGTACCTTGTCCATTGATCCATTGTCCCAACAATGGAAGGATTCATCTCTAAAAGAGGCATGTTCGTAAGTAATGCAAGGGAGAAGGTGAGGTCTGGCTGTGACAAAGGTGTCATAGGAAAAATCACGATAAAAGCGTTGGTACTGGCCTGACAGAGGCTTGCCAGGCGGATACTGCTCTAGATTTCTGCGGGCTCATCATTGAAAGTTTTTAACAGCCTGATGAGACATGGAAGTGCGATATATTGCACGGTTAAGATGAAGCTTTTTCCTGTCTTGTTGTGCCGACATACTTTCAATTATCGCTGATGGGCCACTATAAGCAGAATATTCAAGTAGGATCCAGGGAAATCATAATAAAGTCACATATCTACCAGTGATAACAATGAAATAATAAATATTATGATTCTAAAAAGATTCAATGCAAGCCATAACTTCTGTAAAATGATGGTGATCTCATGCATGGCCAAGTTTGTAAAAATCTCAATCTAAAGATTGATGGAAGCTTACAAATATCCATGTGATAATTTTTTTTTTTTTTTTTTTATTCCAGCAGAGTTTCAAAACACTCCGAAATACTCCGGAAAGTACTCCAACAATTATTTCTTCTAATCCTCTTTTATTTTTTTCACAGGTTACCAAAGGAGAAACCCTCACCTGAAATGATCAGATCCCTCAACTCATTGAGAAGCCATAAGATATTTCCTGAAGTCAAATTAGAAATCTCTTCATCCACACATATTCATCTTGTTTTTTGTATATAGTGTGCTAATTTGTAAGTCATTTTCCTGACTTTTTTATAAGTCTATCTACTTTTTAATTTTGTTTTTCAACATACATTATTCTGTAGCTTAATACTTTATTTACTTTAAAATTTTTCTCACACCAGTTCTCTCAAAAACTATTCGGTACAGCCAAATCCTTGCAATTGAGTCTTTAATGTTTTTGCTATTTTGTAAATTGAGTTTTTGGGAGTTTTAATTTCTTAGGGGAGGATATTTTTCAATTTAACTGTATGTAAAGTTATTTTTTGCTTAAAAAGTGAAAAAGAAAGAAAGATGCAGCCATACAGTGATCAGCCAGATAAACTTCAGAAAAGGAAGTTCAAAAAAATGAAGCAAATGATATCTGATAAGCTGCAAAACTTCAGAGACGAGGAGGTCTCTGACTCAGAACAAGTAGATCTAAGTATTGAACTTCATCCCATCAAGCATTATGTTGATGATAAAGAAGAGATGATAGAGCAAATGTTCACTTCTCTTGGTCCAACATTGATCCAAAACATGTTACCACCCTTGTTGAAGACTGTTCCTCTAAACGAACTGAAAGCAGACTGTTTGATCCAACTCTTAGGAATGTCTAAAAAACGAATTTTCACTTCAATTGATGGCAAGGAACTTCAATCATCATCAGAGTCAGATTTCGACTCAGATGCTTCCTCCAGCTCGGAAAAGAAATCGGTAAAGTCCAAGAAGGTCCCAGTTCAGACCAAAGCTGCTAAACGTAAATACATCATTGATGCTGATACTTTAAATGTAAGTATTGACAATGAGGATGATCTCGATAATTTATCGCTAAGTGATGGGGAAACATCAAAAACATCCAGGAAGCGCAAGTCTACCGAAAAAGTAAAAAAATCAAAGCATAAGCAGCCAAAACATGCAGAAAATGGTTTTGTAGAAGTGGAGGGTGCCTCTCCTATCAGCATATCTAGTAATGAAGGAAGTGATGCTGAACGAGATGTAAAGCCTGTTGTTCCAAAAAAAGGTCAAACTCTTCTCGAAATCCTGGAATTGGAAATGAGGGCCAAGGCAATTCGCTCTTTGTTGAAACAAGGCACTTCTGGATCACCCCAACCAGGGAATGAGTCTGAAGCAGGTAATAGCCTATTTGACCCCAACATCAAAATAAAACCTGAACCGAGAGAACCTGAACCTGATCCAGATATAATCGAAATAATTGAACCTCCGCCACCTCAACCAATTGTTGTCGACTCAGAAGATGAGAGTGAGAAGCCGAATTCAGATACTGAAACACCAAAATCAACATCTGTCACCGATACTGCGAAAGCGGAGCCAGCAAAATCCGAGGCAGCCACTGGTAATAAAGATACTACACCTAATTCTACTTCCACTTCAAATGTTACAGATAATGCAGAAAAAAGTGATCCAAAAACACAAGGCCCCTCATGGTCAGAGCGATATCTAGAGAACAAAGAAACAGAAAAATTAATCAAGACAAGCAAGATGTGTACCAACATCAGGAAGAGGATGAGGCTTGTGCGATCTATGCACCAAAGGCAGCACGTTAAAGAAAAAGTAGATATTCCAGTTGTAATTGGTAGTATCTCTGAATATAAGCAGCTAGTGGGGAATGAAAACTCAAGCAATTCCCTGAAATCAGGTGAAAACGAAATCCCAGAAACCAATGAATCAGAAACTCCAAAAGATATCACTACTGAAGTTCCTGTCACAAATGAAAGTTCCACATCTGTCACTTCAAATACAGACAAGACTGATCTAGTCTGCAGTGATATCTTGGAAATTGATATTTCGATAGCTGACCTTGATCCAGACTGTAGCACCAACTCGTCTGGGTCAGGTACGAAAAATAAGAAGAGTGAAGAATTGATAAAGGCCGTTCTAAATCCAGTAAATGATCTCAGAAGTAAGGGAATCAATGTGGACATTGCAGTAACGAAAGAAGGAGTCATACAAATTGATGAGGATCAAAGGGCAGAAAATGAAGCTTGCAACAAAGAGAAGAAGGATGAAGCAACTCCTGGCGCGGAAAAAAGAGGAATTGAAGCAAACTCCAATGATCATGACGAATGTCAAATTAAAGATGGAGGAAATGAAAATGAAAGTCAGAATAATGAGGCAGGAGATGGTGAGAATTCATGTAAAGAGGGAATTAGTGAGAAGAATGCTGCTGAAAGAGAAAACCAAACGGATACACATACTGAAGAAAAAGAAATTAGGCAAAACGACAGGGATGAAGAGGAAGAAAACAGTGATCAAGAAGTGGTACATATTGATCTAATTGAAGATGATGATGAAAATGTTGAAGAAGAAAAAGGAGATCAAAATCATGCTGAGGCCAGCACATTGGTTGGCGATTCAAGTAAAAAGGATGGAGAGAGCAGTGCAGTTGATGATGAGACAGAGGAAAGAGAGAGCAGTGCAGTCGATGATGAGAAAGAGGAAGGAGAGATCGATGAAGAGCCTGAGAGACCTGTCACCAAAGAGAAACCAGCCGTCGAGCGAGAGGAAGCACAAAAAAATCTTATGTCAGATGAAATTATTGTTATTGATTAAATTCATCGTTAGTTCTTATTAAAGTCTTTTTTACAAAATGCACCTACAACAGACTGTAGCCTCCTGGGACAGCATTTCCTAAAAAGTCCACTGTGAAACGGTACTTTTGGCTTTCAGGTTACTTAAAAAGTATCCATAATTATTAAGCAATAAATTATGCATGTAATACTCAATGTGTTTTTTGGTGACATAGCATCTAGAAGGAAGAAATGAATGCTTGTTTCATCTTATCCCTGTCGAGAAAGTGAAATTGTTTCTCTTCTCTGTATTCAGGTTTTATAAGTGATTAAAAAATTATTCTTTTAAGCCATTTTATGTGTAGGTTTCCCCTGTCAAATTAAGTGTTTATGTATGGAAGTGAGAAGAGATTGTCTTTCAGATTCTGCAAGGGATTATACTAGAGATTTTTATTTGAATTTTATACCCTGGGATTATATTTATCATCTGCCTTGCGGTGTGAACTGCCTATGAATGGCCTTTTTAAAAACCTGGTATTAAACCATTGCGATTTACAATCTATCCATGAAAAGAGAAGCATTTGCATTTTAAGTACCTGTGTCTTAATGCAAAAGGCTCGCTGCCAAATGTTCAGCAAGATTTTCTTCCACAATAAGCAGTACATACATAATGTTATTCTTCTCCGTAAGATTTCGAAGAAAATTTTCCATTTCTATTGTTAACAACTTGCGTTTCTGACGCATTCACATATTGACATATTCACCCAGCAGATATTGACATATTCACCATGCTCCAGGTGTACTTTTGTAAGTTATTGTTCTTTGCTGCATTTGTACCCTCTCTGAAATTGAGTCCGCAGTGCGATAGTGATACACTAGATCATTTTTTACTCTTTTATTAGGTAACATCTTACTGTGTATTTTATTGTCATTTTTATTTTCAATATAAATAATTCGGTCGAAGAAATTAAGGATTTTTTTCTTCAGTCGTATTCATCCGGAACCTTTAGTGTCTCAATACTATCTCTCATTATTGAGATGTAGTACTGTATACTTCATGTGGTTTGTAATACGCAACAGATGATACCTCCTTGCTAAATCAATGAAAAATAATGAACAAGGTAATTGACAGAAATTTCATATTGCCCATCGAGACAATTAAGGCGATCTGGTTGAAACAAATTAGGAACAATGTGAGTGAAGTATTTAGCTGCTGCTGCTATTATTAAATCAAGTGAATGTGGCCAAAATACTGTTCAGAACTATTACTCCTCCCAATTTGAGCTACTTACTTACATTGTGTATCGACACGTTGGAGGCGAACAGGTTTGAACGAGTGAAGAATCGTCACCTTCCGGCCTAAGTATCCCAAGCGCCACGTGACGTTTCAAAATTTCCGCCGCCATTTTATTTTTTACAGAGAAATTTGTCAACGAAGCTGTCCGAAAATTTCTCTGAATTTTCCTTGTGCTGCTGATGAAAGTCAGTGAAATTTTAAACAGACTTAACCAGCAAATTCTCAGTGAAAAAATAAAATAGCGGCGGAAATTTTAGAACGTCGCACGGCGCTTGTGATACTTGCTCTGATACCTCCATTTTTGGCGATTTTAAGAACCGGCAACGTTGTATTAAATTTAAACAATCAATGCATTTTTCGGAGAATTGACAATGCTGCGATGAAAATCAAAGATAGTTTACTTCATCAAGAACATACGAGACGCTGAAATTAAGTTGAGAAGTAAAAGAAACACGCAAAGCCTCCTCAGTCAGTATCACATGCAACTAACACTGTACGATTTTCAATATACAACGCCTAGATGTAACTATTCGAGCTCCCCGAATGTCCGTGTTGCATACGCACAGAGTTGAAGGCGTTTTGGCGCTCCAGTACGCGCCGCTTCACTCGCAGCGCAACGCGCGTCTTCAATTCTTAGTTTGTGCTACGAAGATATCTCTAGAGCACAAGAAATTGCTCTACCAATAGAATCGGCTCGTGCGAAAACCGCTAATGTCCATTTTTTTTCAATTTTGAGATTTTTGGGTTAAAATACACTCGGAGGTCAGACACACTCATTAATGTAGTGAAAATGATTGTTCCTTAGGTTTGGAGCCCTTTTCAGGGGGGGGTGTCCGAATCATGCGAAAACGGCTAATGTCCATCTTTCGTTATATGCCTCATTATACTGTACAACAAAACAAAATAAAAAATTTCTCCTGGACGACATTCGGTGATCTTTATGCATTTTGCAAGGCGCTGAATCCGAATATAACGTCCGTTTTTTTCCATCACCCTCCAATTTTCCGGAAAAGCCTATTTTACTCGGAAAAATGACCATTTTTGGACATTTTCAATGTTTTTCCGACTGTTATCCCCTGCAGAATGTAGGTAAAATTTTTCGTAGCTACGAGATTCAATTATGCCGATGTCTTTTTTAACTGATGAGTCCGGAAATGACCTCAATTTTTCCCGTTCACCTCACAGTTTTCCGGGAAAGCAACTTTTTCCCGGGAAAATGAGCAAATCCGACATATATTTGTCGTGCATGCAATTTATTTTCATAAATTTTCCTGGACCCGTGGTAGTATGTTACTTATGTATTTTGAGCTGCTAAATCCGAATATGACCTCGGCTTCTTTCTATCACACTGCAGATTTCCGGTAAAGCCGAGTTTTCCGAGCCTAAAATTGTGTATTGTAAAAGCTTTGCCGGATCGAAGTGTATTCAAAATTCATTGTATAAATGTCTCCGATATGTGATACATCGATTCCTTTGTATTTTGATCTGATGAATTCAAATATGATCACAGATCTTTCCGATCACCCATCATTTTCCGGAAAAGTCGCTTTTCCTAAGAAATCGCTCTTTTCAGATATTTTTGCGATGATTTTTCTGTTCTAAGGAGTTTCAACCTTATTTAGCCCGAAAGGCATACTGAAAAATATGCGTTTTTGATGTTTTAGAACCGTCCACGCACGAATCATGCGAAAACCGCTAATGTCCAGTTTATTGCTGGGAGTTTTGTGATGAAACTTATTTTAAGCACCGCAATTGTCCGGAATTTTATTTTTTTAACTTTATGTGAATGATAATCTACCGCTTTAACATCTTTAGAATGAATTTTGAAATTATCAAACGGCTCCAAAACTCGGCGATTTTTACGTATCATGCGAAAACCGCTAATGCCCAGAGTCCTTTCTTTTTAATTACACCGTCCCAGACTGAAGAGGAGCTGGAAACTGTTAAGGATCCTTTTCTACAATCCACTCTTGTAATAATCAACTTCTGAACATTTTTCAATCCCGCATTTAAAAGGTTTCTACAGTTTTTTGCAGTTTACTCAAAATAAGAGAAAATGGACATTAGCGGTTTTCGCATGAGCCGATTCAATTATGCTCAGCACATCGTCGTATCAAAACTGCAACACAAAAGATACACATCGTACGCATGTGTGAAACGAATGCGCGTAGTGAATGTCCGTTTAGTATAAACGAAGAGTTGAAGGCGCTCATTTGTCATTTTGGAACCTCGCTCTTCGCAGTCGCAGTGCAACTCACTGCTTGCGCCGATAATGAAGTGGACAGTGCCCGGAGAGTCAAAACGCCTTCAACTCCATGCGTATGCAACACGGACATCCGTAGAGTTCGAATAGTTGAGTTGCATCCAGGCGTTACAAGAATTTCGCGAAGTGCTCGTCGGATGTAATAGCGGAGGATGTAATAGAGGAAGCTCAGCTTGGTGCTTGGGTCTGTAGCTCAACTTAATTTCAGCGCTCCCTATTGTGCCGATGAAGAAAACCATCACTGATGTTCATCACACTGTCAATTTTATTTGTAAGTATATTTGCGCTTCCAAACAACCGTCGCAAACATATTTACTATTCTTTTGTGATGGTCTGTCTCTTGACAGACTATTTATACCTCGTAATAATTTAAAATTATTTTTACGTTGCAATCAGATTTCTAACATACCCAGATTAAGTTTTTTCATATCCGTTTCTTAAGTTTCAAGGGCAACCGTTTGCGCTAACGACTCCCTGCTTTTACTACCTCAAAAGCGCAAATATTCATTTGCGCTATAGGAGTTTTACAAGTTTCTGTGGATAATTTTTCAGTTGTGACGATTTTGTTCTGTGAAATCACACCAATCCTTCGTACTTAATAACTTTAGATCTTTACTTGCTTGGTCAGGAGTTGCCACTGGTTTTCTCTGAAATCATCTCCCAAGCTCCTCCAAGCTGGGGACTCCAAAACTGAAAACGCGGCAACCCTGCTAATGTATTCGCTCCCTATTTTGCATGGAGAGTTTGTTTCGATGTAGAGGTGGACTCTCACGGTAGGGCGGGATATCCTCTTCATGTTGGCCTCCCTTTGAGAGCTTTTTTTGAGCTTAAGAGATGATAACAGAGAAAACCAGTGGCACCATCGTGTTTCTCGCGAACTTGTACATAGAATCAACAGTCAAATCGCAAATCCCGTACACATGCAACATCTCCATTTCAGTTGAATTCTTCGTGAGGGGAAATGTGGCGTCGTGGCGCACTTGTCGCCTGCACAGCTGCACCGCTCGGCGCCTTTAAATCATGACTCGGCTAGCAATTAATCCACGCATCCCTCCCGCCCCTCCGATTCTCCACGCCCGCCGAGCCCCCTTCATCCCTTACAGGGCCAACAACAGGAACAAACGAAGAGTCATTCGGGTTCCGGCCCGGGGCCATTTTTCAAAGCGGCCAGTCACCACGCGCCCGTGCCGCTCCGAGTCCCAAATCCAAACTTCCAAACGGCCTCGGGCCTCGATTCTGTCGAACGCCAGCGGGCTGATTCTCGAAATTGATAGGCAAAGGTATAGACAAAGAAGACACAAGGGATGCCCTGGTAAAAATTGGCAATAGGAGCTACTTTTCAAAATACCATAGGAGTTCTTATAGCCGACTAAAGAAGGCTATTGAAAATCATATAGCTGGTTGTAGAAAGCGGAGCAAATCATATAGCCGGGCTATATGAAGCTATAAAAAAGTATACAGTCGGGCTATAGTTCCTATCGCCGGGCTTTACACTTTATCGCCATTGGCTATAAACGGCTATAAGAAATTGTGTAGAAATTCGTGTGCTTTGGACATCATTAAGTTTGATACGGAACTATCTTAATTTTTACAAAACACACATTATATTTTCCTTTAAAACATATTTTTTTCATCAATTAAAATGAGATGGCCCATACAGAGTGTGCAAACATTTCAAAATCATGAGTTGAAACACGCTGACTCTGCAAGATTAAATATTAGAGCCTAACACAAAGCGGAGCGGCGACGCACTGGCGCCTACAAACCCAACAGGGATACTTCACGCATTGCGCAATGCGTGAAGTATCCCTGTTAGGTTTGTAGGCGCCAATGCGTGTTTTGCGCTGGCTGCCACGGCGCTTGAAGCAACTATTTCACACCAGAGGTATTGCACAGTATCATACGAAACTGAAGGCGCTCTAATATATTAAGAATGACAGGCATCTTTCCATGCATGGAAAGAATTATCGACCACCCACCTCCTTTGGTAAGACTTTTTGACGATTTTAATAGGTTTCAGGAGATTTTACGTCTCAATTGAAGTTGATTTTTTAGATAGTCCTAAAATTAGACTTGAAAAGCCGAGGGAGTACACCTAAAGTTGACAGCGCGACCGTAAACTTGAGCTTCAATGGAGGTAGGGGTGGGAGACATAGATAACAGTGGCGAAGCGTGAATGATCGTATCGATATTTCCCCATTTGAGGCTATGCATGATAAAGAATCGATTGTTCAGATGTTCGTTGTGAACACCCTGTTCAACGATCCTTTTCCAAAGGTTTACATGACAGTTCAATCGATATATTGCCACGCCACTGCTAGATAAGAGTGTAGGTCAACAAAGTAATTTGCTAATTAATGCACGGAGGGTAATAACGGGCTACTGACAGACCAGCGGGTCGATTGTT